ATCCCCCTCACGCCATCGGGCCCGAAGGCGTTGTCACTCAGGTCTAGCTCAGCCAGCCGTGCCCCTGCTCTTATCAGTCCATTGCCCAAAGAGGTCTGGAAATGAGTGAGGGGAAGATAGGACTCAGCACAGCACAGCTATCACATCAGACAGGAAGGTTAACAAATTGCAACCTTACTCTAACCTTAACAACGTACTCTAAATGAACAATGTAAAGCCTGATACCCAAGTCAGACATGGAGACAAGCTACGTAGTTTAATGCGTATCAGGCTAAATGTTATTCTAATAGTCCACTTATAATGTCAAATAATGCCGATAATTAGCAAAATATTGTTAATTCTCACCTTCATCTCCTTTAACCACAGAACTGAGTGATAATAACCCCAGGGGGGAAAAAACGCGGGGAAAACACAGACAGTCCAGAGGGGTGAAGCAGAGGACACTTACCAAAGCTGGAGGGATCTCAGATCGCAGACGGCCAGTGAACATGTCACTCCAGTAGCAGAACTGCGAAGAACGAAACAACAGCCAGGTGTACAGGTGTCTATGCACACTTACTAGCACTGCACGATATCACACTGCGATTATATCGCGCATGTGCAGTAATCACCAGGACTTTAGATGTGTGCAGAAATTCGTCCGGACGCTGGCTTTTCAGTACTATACCTACATTTAGTAACAACCATAATTCCACAGGCAGTTTAGTAGTACTCATAAAATATCAATGAGAAGCATATTGTGACATCCAAAAGTTATCTGTATAAATTGAGTTTATTCTTCTGCTTAATAAATCTGTCAGACTGCAAAAAGTACTGCCACACCACTGATGTCTTAACTTGTTTTTTCATTGTGGAAGAAAAATCAAACATTAATCAATATTATGCAAATCATATACTAATTCAATGAGTAATTACTAATGAAACCTATGTTACCATTTATGTTGTAACTTAATTGTAATGATATATGACTGTATAATTATTACATTATTACTACACTGCTGAACAGTGAATATTAGCTTGCACTTAGAAAAACTAGGCTTTCATGCATATAAGCGGAACTAAAGTATTTTGATATGATAGCTCATTCTGCAAGAGGACCGGATCAAGGTACAGACCTGATCCGAGAAATAAGGCTCCTGCAATATAAGGAAGGCATGAATGTTGAGAGGGTGTTAAGGATACGAGTAAGGAGCAAAAGGAGTATATGGGGAAGTAAAATGAATAGCTGAAGAACTCAACTTGTTCTGAAGAGGATAATAACCACAAGGGTAATCATGAAAAGGTCGACCCTACCTTGACCTGATAATAGGCCTCATTATCAGTAGTAACTGGTGAACACATATCCGACCTCTCCTCAGCTGACTATAAGCTGTCGCAATTCTTTGGCTATAAAAAAATGTAAGCACCTGTTGTTGGGGGAACAGATCACAAGACCCATGAAAGACTGCCGAGTGCCTGTTCCCCAAATATTTGGAAAAGGAAATAAAGTTTTGTCAGACTATTAAACTAATCGACTTCTGCCAAATTCCTTTCACACCATAGCATCTCCTCTTTTAAAAGATGTCGTGGTTGCTGATCTGCCCCTTTCTTCATTGCCACCTCAGTGCTTATCGCTTCCATGATTTACCAAAACAGTATGTGATGTGCTCTGCTAACCTAATTTAATAAGCATAAGGATATGCCGAATTTATACAGATGACTAGCTTTTGGGCGCCACGATACGCATCTCAAAGATTTTAAATATTTTAAATTGCGACCTGCCCATTTCAGTTAATATTCCAGACAGTCAATGTTTCATTTGATGAAGAACTTTAATATTACAAACACAGATTTTAAAATAATGAACAGGGTAATATTACAGTAATGGAGAGTATTACATAGCTAAAACCATGACAATATTAAAACCAAAGGAACACCACAAAGAACAGCTTCTCCACTATCATAGAGGCTTCAACCCTCCGCTCAAACTAAACTAAGCAGGAAGTCACCAAGTGCTACTGGCATTTCCTCCATGAGAAGTGAAGACTACTCAACATTTGTCATATTTCGCTCCAAATTTGCTCCCCAAGTCCCTACGCAGCACAAACACATCTTATGATGCTTTTAAAGAATGTGTGAACAAAGAGTCAGTTTTACAGTTTTTATGTTGCCATGTGCTATTAGCAAGGCTCAAGGCTTATTTATTTTTACCCAGGGACAAATGAGAAACAAATGCACAAAGCCAGCAGCACTGCAACACTGGACCTCTGGCCTGATGGGTTTTTACCTGCAGCTGGCTCTTGCTCTCCAGTGCCCTGGCGATGGCCTTTGCGGCCTCCACACCCACTGTGTTCCCCTCCAGCCGCAAGGCCTGCAGCTCTGGGAAAGCCTCGATTTCTCGCACCAGCTCCTCCACTATGCGAGAACCAGAAAATCAACTCTAACACCTGCCTGTGCCCCAGCATGCTGCACACCAGAGCCAAGGATGAGAGGAGCTGAGCCATTAGTGATCCACACCACAGCTCTGCAGGACATTAAAGATGACGATTCCGGACCAGTAGGCAGGCAGCTCTTCCGCCGCTCGTGTTCACACTGAATCCGTTACTACAAACGCCTTATTCTCACCAGACTGGGCGCTGTCCAGCTTCAGTCCTCGGCCCTTGAAACTCAGCTCTCCATCCCCCACCTGGGTCTTGGCCAGAGACTCGGCCAGCTGAGCGATGTCGATTGAAGCCATCCGGTTACCTACGCAACAGACACCACACCACATGGTAAGACAACAACATCCGTGCAGACATTTAAAATCACAGCACATAAACTTAATTGAATCTTATAAAATGCATGTAACAACAGCAGCCTTAGTAATAATTTCACAGCAAGCAACTGCCCTCCCATTCAGAACTTTCATGTGCCGTATGCTGTCTGGGATGGATAGGTTGGAAGATGAGATTTCAGATTATCGATCCTTACGTTTCACGTCACACATTAAGGGTTGTGAACCCTACTCCCAGTCAAAAAACGTAATAAAATAAAAAGCTGAAGATCACAAAGCCCTATACCTATATGCAACAAGGCTGCCGGTGTACCTGCTACGCGATAGTGAAACCAGGAACCACATCATTGCGACATCAAATCAGGCAAAAGTTTGCCAACTATTTTCAGAAAAACGACTAAGTTTTATACGCGACAAAATAAAGACTACTGAACGAACTACTTTGTAGAGATTAAGTAATAGCATCCGATAACTAACTAGGAAGGCGAAGTTCCGGTACACACTGCTAATTCATCCAGCCGCGGGCGCATTCTTACCGCCAGTTGAATGCCTAAATAAATGACCGAGTTCAACAACTATAAAATTACATATTATCAATCAGAGTTTAAATTTCGAAAAGTAATAAACAAATATCATCACCCGAATAAAAAAGTGTCTTTAAAAAAGTTAACGAACATCAGCGACGCGGCCTTACCGCGCGCTCATCGTCCCACGAGCTGCGCGGTTGGTGCCGGTGCCGGTGCCGTGGACCGGTATCCTAACTCCGACCTACTCATCTACACAATCACCTGGCTGCCAGCGGACCAAAATCTGACAAGCATACCGAAAATGGGATAAATAAATTTAAACTACCTTAAGATGCTGTGTAAAGACTCGGCTTTTCCTTGTCCGTCACACCACCTCCCGCTCTGCTGTCACTATGTGACGTCTGAGCTGTTTGAAGTCCGTAGCAACAAAGCAGAAGTGCTCACGGGAAGTGTAGTCACAACCTCTTTGATAACGTGAAAGCTAAGACTGTTAAAGCTGGAAATGGATTCCTTGCTTATTTATATCTTAAGCATTATATTCCACACTATAGAATGTTCTTAGGCAAATGGTTGTGCCAAAGCATCCCCTTGTCCTTTTGAAGAATCTTTATGCCAAAAAGAAGCTACTGTCAGGACAGAATATGGATAAAATGTGGGACTCCAGATCAATACTGGCTTCCCTGTGGCACTCTATGCATGCATCACCGCTTGCGCCTCCGATCCGAGGCAAAATAAAATTGGCTAACAAGTCAGCGCCCCTTGGAAAGTTGTCTAAACGAGTTAGACAAGGGTGCGCACTATAATCATGCCCAAACAGCTTGTATAATGTATAATGAGTGAAACTGGACTGGATGAAGGTGTCTGTGAACTAAACGTTGGAAAAAACATCATCAGCTTTGATATTAAAATGACATCACAAAATTAAGATCACAAGACACTCATGAGGTAAGTTAAAATGCAGAGTAAACCAAAGGTTATAAGCAGGAGAACTGCAGCAAACTTTGGCGCTGATTACTAAGACATAGAGGTTATAGAGCTTTTACCTCCATGGAACAATCAGCAGCAACAAAGCATCAGGAAATACATCCCAGACTGGAACTGGCAGAGCTACAATGAAGGGCCTACAAAACATCTTCAAAAGTAATTTTATATTAATTAAGCACAAATATAAGAATTGGTTAGGATATGCTATTTTCCGTGGCCCTTTGTGGACGTGAAAACTGGACTATGAAGAAACTGGACTGGAAAAATATTGATGCTGTCCAAGTTTTTCGCTGGCAAAGCCTTGTATTCTTGATTAAATCAAGCCTGAACTCTCACTTGAAGTGCAAATGACCAGATCAAAGCGGTTTTATTCTGGGCATATTGAGAATAACCAGTTAATTGGAAAAGGCTGCAATGCTCAGAAAGGCGGAAGAGGAAGCTGACAGTCGGTACCATGGTGGATGGATTCAAGGCATCCTAGAAAAATTCTATCTATACAGTCTCCACAATCCGGACTCTGATTACATGTCGTTCTAACAACAACAACAATAATAAATAAATAATAATAATATTTGTACTGCATCGTCTCCAGCTTTTACCTATAAATTCCTCACGTGACTCTTTATTTTATTTTATTCTGATGCGAGACTCTCTTGATGAACGCGTCCGTGGTTTACGTTACACGTTAAAATTAAATACTACCAAACACAGCGCTACAACTGTTGCAGCGCTCTATCTGCAACATCGTCAACTCGTCCGGCTTTTGGACCCGGGTGCCGGAGGGAGTCGGAATAAACTTGAGCGCAACTGAGCTAAAAGGAATGGAAAGTAAAAACTCTCACATGTTCCGTGTGGAGAGTGGCCCCGGGGGCCTTGTGGGATGAGGTTGCCGTGGCTCAGGCATCAAAGCAAGCCGCAGAACCGATACACTGCGCCGTGATGTTTCATCACTAGGAACTCCGAAAGCAGAGAGATCGCTATCGTATGCGCCGACTGGAGGTGAGCGCCCAGGTACCTGGCTAGCTAACCCTTCGTACAGCGCGAAGGGCGGAAAGCCAGCAGCGGCCAGTCGCCCTTTAAGTCACCGGTTTGGGGACCGACGAGGTGCAAGGCGGAGGTGTCACCGGAGGCTGCGACTGAATGGTGCATGTATCGGGCTGTGTCCGTGTCACTAGTCTGGCTTTATATCCGCTTGATATCGATGTAAAATGCTAACTGGCTAAGTAACGTAGAGTTAGGAAAAAATGCCCCACAGATGTCGAGGAATGCGGCCAGTGGCGTATTTATCGCGCCGGCATCAGTCCAAAGATAGCCAGATTCACTCATTTGAGTGGTTTAATAGTTGCCCTGGATGTCTGTCAGACACTGGCGTGTTTACACTCACAAAGTTGGCATTTTGCATGGCAGCTAGGTAGCTAACTGCGGCTAGCTACGCGATGAAGTCTCACCCCGGCGCTTGTTAAGATTCTGCGTGTACATGTCGATCAGGTGTGAAGTGTGAGCCGCCGCCGCCTGGTCGTTTCCTGCGGTGCACGTCTGAGGATGAGACCCGCACGGCGGGCGAATCGCCGGCTTCGCGACTGTTACCGGAGCCGCCCTCGCCGGTGTGCTTTTCATGCGACCTCGGGGATGGGCGGAGTGCTCATGGTTATAGGCCCCCTCAAGACCGTTTCTAAGTTTTTCACTTTGAAATGTTTAATGTAGCAGTTAAGGTGCATATTATCCTATTTTAAAATTAATTGCATAGACACTATGACGACTAAAATCAGGATTTTAATCCTGATAAGGCTTGGTCACTGGCTAGCAGTAGTTCGAAAGCAATATAAAAACTAGGAAACCGTGTAATTTTCCATATTAGTAGATATCGTGTGTTTGTTTTAGTTTTACTCCTTATAACTAAATTAATGCAGATATTCGTATTTAAGAAATGCACTGTACCATGTAACCCGACCGTTCAGTTGGTTATGATACACACGTAGGGTCTGGAGTATGCAGAATAAGAATGTTAGCTAGGACGTAATAACCGTCATATGCTTTCTTACCTACCTGTTTTGTCAGTTGGTAGTTTTTACCCATGTAAAAAGCGGTATATTTAGAGAAACTATTTTCAAAGATACAAAACACACCAATGTTCGCGTTTTAACTCTTGCGGACATAGACCGCTTATTTTGTGATGGGCACTGCTGTTATTAATTTTGATAAAATATTTTTAGAGATTAAAGCTCAAATATTTAGTAAAATGTTCTACTTCGAATTGATTCGTGACTTTGGGCATCTTAAGTGGCCCGTATTGAGCACTGGCACCTGCTGATACGTTTGCAGTGGCATCACACCTATGCCAGTGACTAATATTTAGTTTTATGTGAAACCTTAAGAAACGCATTAACATGTGAAATGTACATTGTTGTTCAGCGCATCTGTTCTGCGGTTATATTTTAAGAAAAGTACAGGGTAGTTTGCATCCAGATGCAAATGTTGATCCTAACTACCCTCTTGAAGCTCTTCATCTGAGTGTTGTTCATAAGCTGAGCAGGAGGCGAGGACTTAGATTTGGCAGTCGAAGTTTGCAGGTTCTTAGCATGGAGGGGACTCGCTCTTGTACCCATGAATGGGGAGTTTAGCCTAAAATGCTCCTGCGGAAATCTAAAGTGGGTAGAGACTAAAACTGTAATCTGTGGAAGCTGCTCTTGATGCATAAGCATTTGTCTCTCTTTAGTCTTGATGTCTAGCAGTCGAGATTGTTCTGCTGCCATTCTGTGGTACAGCTGCCTTTACCCAACAGCATTTCTCTCACTCTTCTTTCAGCCATGGATTTGGAGCGACAGAAGCGAAGGGAGGAAATCCAGAAAGCGCTGGGATTCATTCAGTGAGCCAACGCGTGCAGTCTTCCTCCGCTTTGAGATTCCGTTGTTTCGGGCTGTTTCAGTGCACTTTCTGTACCTTTAGCCAAACACCGTTAGTGATTTTTACAACAGGAAATAACTCTCTCTGCCCTTTTGGAGTCTGTTTATTGCTAGATTAAGATTCAAGTTTTAATCAAATGGTTTTACCTTGTCTTACCTTAAGTGACATCGTGCCACATCCACAGTAGCCTTTGATGTCAAGCTGCTCTTCTCACCATGAATTATCCTTCTCGTCACCTTTCGTGTGTCCTGTATTTTCCCAGGTCATCCTTGCCGTACCCTGAACCAGAAGGTTATGAGGTACGTTTCCCAAGTGCTGTTTTCGCCTGCGTCTCTCTGTATCTCCTGTGATACTCGCCCCTTGGCTAAAAGTGCTTTAGTACTCATTGTTAAATAATTCAGGTATTTAAGCAAGATAAAATCTAATGATTTTACACCACTAACAGTTCAGGGAAGTTGTAAAAACTTTTGTATTTCCCCAGTTTTTTTGTCACCTTCCACTTTAAATATGTTTTTTCATCTTTATCTATTTCTACTCCCTTTCCTCCCCTTTCTACTCACTTATCTCTTTCTCTTCTGTCTTTTTTTTTTTCTCCGATGTCTCACTCCCATCCCTTTCTCTCTCTCTCTCTCCCCATCTCACCCTAACCCCCTCCTCTCTCCTCCTACAGGCGTTTCTGACCCAGCTGGTGTGTAACCTCCTGGATGAGGGCAACACAGTTTTCCGTGAGGGGGACTGGAGGCAGGCGACGGTGCAGTACAGCGAAGGTGTGAACGTGGCACGCTACGCCCAGGCGGAGGCCCTGCTGATCCCTGCGGCCTTGCTGGAGAGCCTCTACGTCAACAGGGCCGCGGCGTATTACAGTCTGGTGGGTTCCCAGTTTGGAACAAGTTTGATGATCAGTCACTGAAACACAGCATGTGTTTGTGCTCTATCAAGCATCTTCGCTGACACACAGTGCTACTTAGCATTCGGTGTAAGATGATTTGTTTTTGTAGCCGTGAATGTAATTGTGATTTAGTTACTGCAAAACTAAAGTGCTTTTTCATGTGCTGTTTGTTCTGCTTATTTCTTATGTTATTTATTGATCTTCTATGTACTAAACCAGTGTTTCCCAGTCCTTGGGGACCAGACGGTCCACATTTATGCTCCCTCTCAACTCCCAGTAGTGGAATGTTTGCCAGGGAGCTGGGAGGGAGCAAAAACATGTACCATCTGTGGGTCCCCAGGGAGCGGGTTGGGAAACACTGTATTAGATAGTCATGGTGCAGATATCTGTTCTGAAATCCCTGATGCCCTCAGCTTCAGCACAGTCCTGTTGTAACTTCTGAAACTTACTTCTGAAGCTCATTATAATCGTTTTATTTTGTCAACTCTCTGCTGCTTCCACTGTCCCCTCTGGCACCTGCTCACCGGCGGCCTCTAGGGGGAATACGAGCATGCCATGCAGGACTGCAACAGCACACTGGCCGTGTCGGAGGGGAGCCGCAAGGCACTCTACCGGAAGGCTCTGTGTCTGCGGGAGCTGGGCCGTCTGCGGGAAGCCTACGAATCCAGCATGGGGTGCCTGCTGACCGCCCCTCATGTAAGTGGAGGCCAGGGGCATGATGGGATTTTGGGAGGAGGAGGGGTGGAAGCCAGGGGCATGATGGGATTTTGGGAGGAGGAGGGGTGGAAGCCAGGGGCATGA